TAACTATAAACATAATTGTTGAAAGCGTACTAATATTTGTGGATACTCGAAACCTAATATGCTATGAAATAGGTGGCAGACACAAGGACTGTCGTAAATTTAGCATATGTTATACTATCGAGCTAAAAGCCGAGCACAAAGCTAAGAACAAATTTATGGGCACACAAATTTTTGACAAAATTTTTTTTATTTGTTGGTGGTACATATTTGTTATAAATTTTTAGAATCTTTCAAATGACATAGTAGACAAATCTATAAGTGTTGACTTTTAGATATCAAAGGCAACACCAAAATCAATTATAAAAAATCCATATTGATTTCCTAAAATCATGAATCTTTTTCAGAAACTTAATTTTCACAACAAATGATTGTATGTTTGAACTATAGAGTGCCTTATTTAATTAAAATTTTGAAGAAATAATTGGAATATTTCAGATATGTCCATTATAATACAATTGTACTATCCGTATACATTAATGTTAGCTATTAACAACCACAACTGCTTTTGGAGATATATATTATTTAAAAGTGAATTATTAGTTAATAATTTTGTATTTTCTCAATTAGTACCTAATGGTTGTCGATCATAAAATTTGAATCCTTTATTTGATAAATTTTTATCCCTCCAAATTACTAATAGGGAAAATCCCTTGGAGTTTATAATTAATACTTCAATGCTTAATTATTTTATTTTCATGGATATAATAGAAAAATAAGTGAATAATATCAAATTTTATGAAGAAATATTTTTTAAGTAATTTATTCTAACAATAGGAAGTGATTTTTTTCTTAAATGTAAAAAATATATAGACAACAGTAAGCGATAGCATGATCAATACAAATACTTATAAACTAACTAATGTTACAATCAATAATTCGCACAAATATTATTTTCAACCCACTAATAAATTATTTAGACGATCCCAAATTATTTGAAAATATGAAAAAATAGATTAATATAAAAATATAATAAATAAAAATAAATTCATCCGACCAACGGATCGGGTAAAAAGCTAGTATATTAAATAATAGTAGGAAAAGGATTCTGGCGTAAATGGGGTTGATTAGGGAGAATTATTATTGTTATTATTTTTTAGGACATGCATGTCACGGTGACATGCACTTTTCGGTCGACCTCATATAGGATTAGGTCGACCTAATCTGTAGTTTCAGTGTAAAAACAGTTTCATGGTACCTACTTTTGAGATTCATATCTTACAATTGGCTAGATGGAAATTGGAGATTAGTGGCTTGTTTTGAAGCTGAAGTGTCCCTCTACACATTAAAGTACTTGGGAGCTCAATAGAAAGTCCAGAAGACCATTTCTGAACCTGATCGAAAGGCTATGCCAAAATTGGGAAGCTGTCTGAAAATGGCTAAGTCTGGGAACGTGTTTGTGAAGCCTATTTTGGAGCTCAATTTGAGAAGCATGGATGCGAGTCAAGTCCAGGGGCCTCTACCACGTTAAATTACGTATTTTTTCTACAAAGGAAAGGCATTGGATGAAAGATTAAGTATCTTTAAGGCTTCAAACAAAATGCTCGAAGTTTCTACGAAGGCTGTTTTCTGGCAGCTTACTTGTGCTCGAAGTCTGCCAGAAAAACAGCCTTCGTAGCAACTTCGACCATTTTATTTGAAGCCTTACAGATATCCAATCTTTCATCCAATGCCTTGAATTTGTATAAAAACATACCTAATTTAACGTGGTAGAGGCTCCTGGTCTCGACTCGCATTCATGCTTCTCGAATTGAGCTTCAAAATAGGCTTCACAAACACGTTTCCAGACTTAGCCATTTCCAGGCAGTTTCCCAGTTTTGGCATAGCCTTTTGATGAGGTTCAAAAATGGTCTTCTAGACTTCCTATCGAGCTCTCAATCACTTCAATATGTAGAGGGACACTCCAGCTTCAAAACAAGCTATTAGTCTTCAATTTCCATCTAGCCAATTGTATGATATGAATCTCCAAAGTAGGCACCATGAACTGTTTTTACACTGAAACAACAGATTAGGTCGACCTGATCCTATATGAGGTCGACCTAATCCTAACTGAGGTCGACCGGAAAGTGCAAGTCACCGTGACATGCATGTCACCGTAGGCGCACCCGATTTTTTATCAATATTATATTATCATTTAATTAGGAAATATGTTGGTTGTGATAAAATCTGTAAATTTGGTAAAGTAGTGATTAACTATATTTTTTTGTTGACGGGATACGGGAGTGAGTGCTTAATTATAATTATTATAATTAGGTTAAATTAGGTTGGTAGTGATTAACGAGATAAGATTCAGAATTATTATATTAGTTAGGATGACTATAAAATACTTATTAAATTCATTATATTATTTTTAAGTAATTATAATTTATCAGAAATATTGTATAATATTATGGATATTTGATTATAAATGATAAAAATATTGTACAACTTATGGATAATTCATTTTAATTGTGTAGAATTACTATAAAATACCTATTAAATTTGTTTAAATGGCTAGAAAAGCATCTTTTCGTAGTTACTAGAGCTATCAAAGTGAAAAATTAATTTTTTTTAGAGAATCAAAGTGAAAAATTATTGAAACCCTCGGCGCTCCATTAAAATGTGGATACGGACATGGTGGAATCGACAATTCCTCGATTGGACGTCTCGTGCAAAATAAGATCGATTAATATTGCCAAAATTTTCATCAGGATTTTTGGGAGCTTTGTGCATCGTAACTACGTATTTCTTGAGTCTATCATGCGTATTTCGATGATGCAAACAAATGCTGTTAGTGGAGGTAGAGACGATTTTACCTCTAACACCATGTCGTAGTAGGACTGGATGGATTGAAGTTGAAGTTAGGTATTTAGTGGGAATTAGGGTTTAGGGTATGAGGGGTAGAATGGTCAGAAGGGAATATCTGCTTTCCTCTTTTGTTCTTGTCATCGTTGTTCCGATTAGTAGAGTATATTCTTCTTCATGTTATTATCATCATAGGTTTAACTGTGATCTAACCATATTTTAGTAAAATACAACCCTAATTAGACAAAGTCAAATGTTAATCTCGTTAAACCTCCTCTTGTTGCTAGTGGTGATGGGCCTGGGAAGATGACGAAGCTCCCTCGATTTAAATTATTTGACATTAACTAAATTTTAAATTACTATTAGACGTTGTTAACAAATTCTAACACCTATTAAGCTACTTAATAAACAATTTTGCATAATACTACTATTAAAATTAACATTTATTTTTTATGAAACATTTCAACGCAGATTAAGCTGCTTAAATTATTATAATCATTCCAATTTCCACCTAAACATTTATATGGAATTAAACTTTGTTTTCTTTATTAATTAATTACTTTCCTTTAGCTCATCCTACTAATTAAGGAAATGGAATAAAACGTTGCTTTCCTTTTTTTTAAATGAATTCATTAGAATTTTAATGTGTTTTAATTAAGGGAAATTTTCAATTATTAATTAGGGAAATAGAATTAGACATTGTTTAAGAATGGAATTAATAATTCATAATTTTAAATCCTAATTATGGAATTTTCAAATTTTAAAATTAATCAATAATTAATTAATAATTCAAAATTAATTTTCGGACGCCGTCCGACGTCGAGTTTCGGACGCGGTCCGCCGTGGGATTTCGAACGCCGTCCGATGATGGATTTCGGACGCCGTCCGACGATGGATTTCGGACGCCGTCTGATCTCCGGCGTCGGGAGCCGTCCGATCTCCGGCGTCGGGCGCCGTCCGATCTCTGGCGTCGGGCGCCTTCCGAACTCCGACGTCGGACCTTGTCTTTGGGTGCGAACTCCGGCGTCAGAATGCTTCTTCTGTCCAAACTCGGACCAATCCTGTCGGAGACCGTAAATCGCAGGGTAAACGATGCCTCCAACGATCCGGATATGAAACTGGAGCGTCTACATTCTCCCTCTCCTTCCTGTATTGTTTTTGGTCTGTGCTGGGCTTGGGTTAAGGAACGAAGAAGACGATGATTATTATGACGGGCAGAAGATGAAGATGACGATCCGATCACAGGCAGAGGATAAAAACGACGGGAAGGCTAGCTAGTTAAGGGAGGAGATCATTGTGGTAGGGTGGTTTGCGGTCGACGACGAACTCCTCCGGCGTGAGGGAGGTAAGTTTCGGCGGCTGGGGTTTGTTTGTGGGGATAGGGTTTCCAAAGGCAAGGTGTAGCAAGGGTAAAAATGTCATTTTTTGTAAAATCATGAACGGCAAATAGTAAATCTACGGGCGGTAAATAACAGTTCATTAAAATAAAAGCCCTTGCTTTGCGCACAACGCCTTGGCTTCGTTGAAGGAAGTTGTTGTGCCTCTCCTTGGGCTTTTTGTGTTTCGTAGCCCAACACTATTATGCTTTAGGATACTCCTCGACCTATTTGTTAGGCACAGGCCTTTGATTATCGGCTTCCGACTTACCCTGGTCCAACAGATTCTTCATTACACGCGTCAATGAGCTCAAATGTCGCCATGCTAACCAAGTTCTCAAAGCTTCTCTCACAGTAAGGGAAAACTTTCCAACAATCAAATTCTAACAGATTCAACAAGAAACTATGTCCTAATGATACAGATTTCCTGAGGACATACAGCTGTTATATACTTGGCTCTACAGAAACAATCCTCAACTGACATCACCCTTTTCTTATGTCCCGCAACTTCACCTATGCTCCCCATTACATTACCCCCTTGGGACGGGAAACTCACCCTTATGATGTTACAGGAGGAAGAAACTAAGACTCAAACTCCAACCACAGAACCCACCTCCAAATAATCATGTGACCAAATAAATGAAATAAAAACAACTGTTCCTTTCCACCTTTGAACTCTTTCCCCACGCAGCAACCGGGTGGCATCTACACATGCATGCACTTCTTTCTATTATATCCTCGTTAGTAGGAAGAGCAGCTCTGACCTTAAAATGGCCTCCACTCGGAAACCTCAACGGGTGCTGCAAATTCTTGTGCTGGAAAAAGACCATCCTGCATCATCTTTTAATATTCTGTCTGGTGGTGTTCAAGATTCCGCAGCACAATTCTGGCAAATATTTTTGCTTCCAGTGGTGCTGTTGCTGCTGCTGCAGCAGCACGCAGAACCCTTGCTGCTCCTGTGTTTTGCATCAAGCTTGCATGGTGCATCGCATGCCTCCCACCAGGAATAGTGAACTATGTATAGGAATGAATAACAGGCAAAAAAAATTATTATAAGTCACGGCCCAAGAACAATGATGAACTTCAAGAATGAATCACGGCACAATACCACTCATTACCTGCAGAAGAGCAAATGCAGCACAGGCTTTAAGTATGGAAGATGGGTTCCGCAACATGGTCACAAATCTCCCGATTTCAGCTCCACTGAGAATCAAGAGAGACAAAATGTGGAAAAGTGGCAAACACAATTAGTTACATATTTCCAATTGGAATGACGAAAACAGTCAAGAATACCGAGGAGGAGACAAGACAGAGTAAGGACCTGCATCTTAGATGCCCAGCTTCTTGAATACGAGCCCTCTCTGTTACCTGTGCCAATGCTGCAGGAGCTGATGATGCTGCAGCAACAGCAAATGCATGTTGATCTGAGAATGTAAGCACAAACGCCTCGATATGTTTCAATGCCAATCTCCTAGCCCCCTCTAAGCTCATGCTCTTTGAAATCCCTTCAGAAGTAGTTCCTACCAATGCGAACTCATCCATTCTGAACACAAGGAAGAGAGTGCATAGCTTTCAAATTTGCCTTTCATCTTTCAATTTAAGCAATAAAATTGGAACTTAGCAAATCTCTAAGAAAATAGTTAACTGGAGGCCAAAAGCCGACAATTTGATGATTCTGGACAGTATGGTTTGAATACACACAGTATGGTTTGAATACATATGAAGCAAAATGAGTACCTCCCGTCAAACATGTATGCCAATGCTAAAGCAGCCATGAACCTTGCCATTTTCGATACTGATGTGGAACAAAGATTAACAAGTGCGGGTACGCCCCCTTCCTCCACTATTCGAAGGGCATTACCAGGGGTAAAAGCAAGATTCCAGAGAGCACCAGCAGCAGTTTCATGAACATCCTGAAGGAAAACAAAATATGAGCCTAAAATGAGGTTCGACTTTATATTGCAGGAATGCCGAAGAAAGAGAGCCTATACAAGTGGTTCTACTTGTGCAATACGGATGAAAGTCAGTTTAATGCAAAGCAAGAATCAGTGCATGGAAAATAAAAGTGGGTTCTCTTTTGCACAATCCCAGTCGAAGAGATCATAGCAAAGACAGTGTTGTGCAGACTACAGACCGAGGGAGGCTTGAGAGACAACAATATCAACAACCTAGAAATCATACTAACCTCAGCATCAGAGCGTGCCAGTGAGATCAAAGGTGCAACACCTCCTTCTCTTCCAATAGCAATGCTGAAAGAAATTTCGAAAGTATCAAGGTATATGCATCAACAAAAGCAAACCCATATTTCTGACTCTAAGCGGTGTTGAGCACAAAGCAATGCAGTCCTAAGAAAAGATACTGCAGTAACACTTAAGTCAACCACAACAGGAACTATCATGCAACAAATAGATGTCGACCACGTATTTACTCACCATAATATCTCAAAGTCAGATGTGCTACAAATGGATGATTACTTTTGGAGCTCTGATCAGTAACCGACACTCAAAATTCCCTTTTCTCAAGTTTCTTTTCCAAACCATGATCTACTTCAACTCCCACAATGGAGGATAGTAAGGCCACCCTCCTTGCAAAACAATTGCTATAAACCCACATACCTATTGACTTCTGATACAGATAGTCCCCAGAGTGCTCCAGCAGCCCTCTCCTGAAGACCAGGTGAAGCATTCGAACAGGATTGTGCAAGAGCAACCTAAACAAAAGGTAGAAGATTAAACCCCAAACCCTCGGAAACAGAGAAAGAGAAAGGGCAAGAAAAAGGGGCAACCACCAACAAGAGCAAACATCCATCTGTCAGAAGGACCATATAGACAAGTACCCAACTAGCCTAAGAATTGCGGGAAAGTAAAACAGCAGAAAGTACCATAACACTGGAGTGGGATTTTTCAGATCAGGAAGAAAGAGAAAACATAAGGTGAACAACAAGAAGGCCTTCTGGCAAGATGGGCCAGGACTAACTACAGAAGCAGGTACTACCAAAATCCTGGATTGTACTGTCTCCCTTACATAGAAAGCTACGGAGCTAATAAAACAAACCTGAAAACAAGGAAGGTCATCACTGTTGATTTACGCACAAATCTTTAAGAATGTGAATTTCTCTATGCTGCTCTTCTCTCTATCTATAATGATATGGACTTAAGAAGGTTACATTATTTGACGTGTAGTGTTAAGCACACCAGATTCCTATCATGAACTGCTAATGGCAAATTTTCAGAATCCATCATCTTCCGTGGAAGATTTCTTTTCTGCAATGGACATCTAATTGGATTGAAAAATTCAGGTTCTGAGAATCAAAATATACCAAAGCCTCAACACCACCACCAGCAGCAATTGCTTCTCGATTTCTGTCATCAAAGGATAGGTTCCACAACGCCCCAGCCGCTTCCTGCCTGTTAAATTTCGCACAAACAAATACCCATAAAAAAATCAAGTCCATTTCGTTTGCAGAAAGCTTCTTAAAGAGTGACGCAGGGCATTTTCAATTACTAACAATCCTTTCAAATGCATACACCACCATCACAACTTAATACATTCAACCATAACTGTATGATCTTCTCCAGACACAACTTCAGAAACTAGTAACTCATAAAAGGGTATAAGGAAGAAAACGCGGGAGGGTTAGAGGAAAAGTCCACGAGATGAGAAAACACAAAGAAACACCTTTGTGTATCGATGCATTCAAGATGAAATTACATAACGAAACATGCCCAAATGAGTAGGTCAAAGCTGGGAATGCAAAGGTATAGTGGAAGGAAGAATTGTATAGGCGATTAGAAAGCATGAACAGTTACCTGACACCTTCATGAGCAGAACGAGTGAGTTGAACAAGTGCCTCGAGGGCACCTGCTTCTTGACCAACTGCAACATTGTTTGTATTACTATCTCCATGAGCAGCCAGGTTAGCTAATGCACGAGCAGCCTGCCATCATCCAAAGTGTCACTGGTTATTTTCAATGGATCAAACAGAGGATTCAGATATAGCTGATAACAGGCACAAGCAGCCTGTGATCATCCAAAGTGTCACTGTTTATTGTTTCGATGGATGAAACAGTGGATTCAGATGTAGATAATAACAGGCCAAGCAATGGGCAGGATAAGAGAACATCTCTTGCAAATCTTCTACTAACAGATTAGAGATGGTGAAATCAAGATAAGGACTTTTACAGCGGAGGCAAAAAAGAGAACAGAAAAATATATCATGGAGTTGGGGACACTAAGGGAATAGCACCGGCAGATTCAAGCTTAAAATGAAACCATGGGAAACACAACTTCCTCAGAATTGTTCAAAAAACCTTTGATATCCCAAGCCAAAACCAACAACAAAACCCCCAAATATGTACGGCTTGCTCTTGCCATAAATGAGCTTTTACTATAAATTGCAAACCTGTTCTTGGACACCTTCAAACTTGCAATTACGGGCGAGCATTACCAAAGCATGAACACCACCTGCAAGTGCAACCTCCATGCTACACTTGTCATCAGCTGCCAAATTAGCCAAAGCGCTAGCGGCACGTTCCTGAGAACATACAATGAAAACCAACACACCCTTTATATTGCAAAAACAGTTAAAAGCATCCCAAAGGAAGCAAACAAGTGATATTGTCAGTGGCTAGAATGCATGAAGGCTATCTCTAATGCCATACCAGAACTCCATCTCCTCCAGATGACCACTTGAATATAAGATCAACTAAAACTTTTACTCCACCAGCCTCAGCAATAGCACCCTTAAAGAAAAATTGAGTGACATGTTTAGTCGTCTGATCCAAGCCAGAGCATATAACAGATACATATGACATTTGAACATCTCAACCTTGTGCTCCTCTCCAACCGAAAGATTCCAAAGTCCACCTGTAGCTTCCTCTGCAACAAGCCTGTTCATGGATCTTGCCAAGCCTGCAAGGATTTCGATCCCACCTTCCTCTGCAACAGCTTTAGCAACATTCGCATTGACCGACAGGTTTGCTATAGCCTAAATTTTTAAAAAAACGTTAAACCCAAGTGGATTAAAGTATTTCAAGATACCAAATATGCTCATTTTAGGAAGGGTACCATAGTGTAGTAAATGAAGTGTGTGGGTAAGACACATATACTTATGATGATAAACCAAAGAGATCACAGAAAGAAACAAATATAATTGCTTAATACGAACACAAGAGATCTGGCCAATACTGGGACACATCTGTACAAACTTTACCTTAGCAGTCTCTGACTGAAGGCCTTCACGCCAGGATTTGGCAAGGTCCAGAAGTAAACGTATGCCTCCATCCTGCATTACTGCCTCAGCTCTTCCACAATCTATGCTAGCATTTTCATCATCAATGACAACAAAAGTAGCTAGTCCTGTGGCTGCTCGCTCTTGAACATCTTCCTGGGAACTTTGCATTAACCTGAGCAAGATCGTGGCACCTTGTTTGAGCCAGAAGTTATCCAAACCTTGTGGGTTGCTCTCAGCTGTGCGCAAAAGTGTGTGCGAAAGAATCCACTCCAGCCATGTCATTATATCTCGCAAGCTATTATCCTTTTGCTTCACATCCATCCAATCTACAAAAACATTTTTCAGTTTCTTTGTACTGTCGGCAAATAAAGACGCTATCCCCTTAAAGATGTCTGTGAACTGGGCAAGTAACAATTTGCCTCTATATCTGTCGCCGCTAAACGTGGTGTCTTCTTCAAGAGCAGAGCAATTTAAGGCACAAATGACTTTCAATGTCAGAGATGATGACAACAATCTAGAAACAGCAGCAGGACCAATATCAGTTCTTGAAACATCCAACCCAACCAGTTTAGGAAGCCTAGTCCAGAGATGAGAAACCACCCCCCATTTCATATTTGATGTCCCGGAAACTGATAGAAAACGAACAGATTCCACATTCCCAAGAGCCACCTCATCAACCATGAGACAGTCGAGAAAGCCAATGTCGGACAATTCAGGACAGTGCTTAGCCAAAACATTTATTGCATCACCAGAAACATCCCTGATACCAGAGAGGCGGAGTTTCTTAAGTTTAGGACAGCAAAAAGCTACTGCCTTAATGGCATCACTACTTATGCTCTCACAGAAGTCTGGTCCAAGTTGGAGGCTTTCAAGCGCCTCATGGCGAGCCACAATCACAGAAAGAGTTGCATCTGTTATTTTCCGACAGTAATCACCACTTATTTCCTTCAAGTGTCTGGCCTGAAGATGTATTATAGCATCCGCTGTCTCAGCACCTCGAAATCGAAGCTTCTTGAGACTTTGACATCTAGAAGCAAGGGAAACTGCCATTGAAGCATCACATTTATGAGCACGCAGATCCAAGGAACTCCACAGGCATGGAGAAGCACCTAAAACCCTCCATGTTCGACAAGTTGACGAAAGACTTGATCTGTCATGGTAATTCAGACATGAAAACAGTTGAATTACGGTGTCATCAGGCAAGCCTGTCCAATCAACAACAACATAGTTCCTCTCAGGAGGTGGAACAACCTCATCTTCAATCTCCGGATAGCAAGGGAAAATCACCTTCTCTTTACCGTTCTTTGCAACTTTCCGCCGCACACGACGACTCATAATCTCGAGATTAAAATATCGCTCACAAAGGATAGCAAGTTCCTTGTAACTTGGGGCCTCGAAAATCACAGAAGTCCTACGAAACCCACTAGCTCACAAGCCAAAGAACACAAACGCAATTCTTCAGAACACAAGGAAACCTTCAAACTGAAAACCCGACAACAAATTTCTCAATACCATTTCATCTGAAACCTCCAATGATCGTAAGCCGACAAACAAATTTACTATTAGCCCGTATATATATAACACACGCAAGGAAGAGACAAACCAATATCAAGAATTGAAGATTGCTGCAATCTACAATTGCCACTGAACTTAGATACAGATAACCCGATAAATTGGATGCCACAACCAGCAATAGTTAGGAGGCAAATTCAAGGCTTTACCAAACCCAGAAAGCTTAAAGAAGAGAGGGCACTTATTGGCCCTTTGACAAGTATACGGTGGAAATCTTGAGCTTATTGGATATTGGAATAGGAATCAGTTCTGGTGAACATTTTGGAGTACATTGAGGAATGATGAATGGAGGATTGATAGATTGGAAGGAGGCGATGGCCGGTGGGTGTGATGGGAGGTAGGAGAATTCAGGAGGAGATAAAAAAAACTGAACGAGGAGGAAAGGAGAAGAAAAGAGAGAAAACCCTCAATCTCAAAGCATATGTGCGTCTAAACTAACCTCCCTCTTCCTAATTTCCTCTCAATGGTGATTGTTGTTTGTGTTTATGTCTTTGTTTTGTGTTATGTCTATGTTCTAGAATCGATGCGTTGTTAGCTACCAAGGGGTTAGCACTTAACACCATGTTTTTTTTTAATAAATGGAACTTTCGTCCCAACCTTTACTCGATAACGGAATGGGACGTTTGGACTCTAATAGTATTGTGGTACAATCAGTAGAAAAAACACTATCTAGTACAGCAATGGTACGAGATTCAATAGAAAAAGAATGTCCCAAGTCGGCAAGATAGTCAACAACGATTGTTCCCCTATAAATATGCAAGAGATGCGCAAGCCAACTACGAATCTCTACCACTCTCATATAGTGGAAGTGTTGAGGAGTAGCATACTCGAGTCTATCTGAAGAATCACCTTCGAAACTCCTGCCTCGCAAGTGAGCCTCAATCCCTGCCCAATCCCGGCTAACTCGCACTAGTGACCGAGCTTCCTCCAAGTTCATAGTGAAAGTTGGAATGAAGTGGCCATCTTCTCCCCTCACGATACCTCCCGCTACCGTGCTCGAAGGAGAATGAATCATTAACCCGTCTGTGTTGAGGCAAGCCCAACCTGGCTGAGGTGGATGCCAACTGATGGTCGTTGGTGTTCGTAGTCCCCCAGCTCTTATGACCAGTTTCTACTTCTCTAAAGCTCTGAGAATTTGGCATCTCAATCGTGTAGAGTTAGCCTAAACTTGAGCATATGACTGCAACTCGTCCTAAAAGAAGTTGTTTTGGTTCTTCCATAGAAGCCAACATGCAACAGGTACCTGGAAAAATGGTGTAATCTATCACTCGGCTATGGCTCAAGTTATAGTGGAACATCCATCCCGCAAGCTCTAGACCAAAAAAATACCAATCTGGTTCATCGCTCATTAGGTCCGCACATGTTGCTCTCTCAAACGCGCAATCACGTACCACATGAATAATCGTCTCAGGATGCCTCCGCATGTTTTGCATCCATCGTTCGTCTTCAAGTGCCTTCGTTTACATTCAACGTTGATGATAAGTCGATTATGGGCTGCTAGCCAAAGAAAACCTCTCGTGCATTGCATAGCTGGTGTCCTCCAAAGAGCTCTTCATCGTGGGTGGCAATGATGAGCATCTGGTTCTTCCTCTCCTATGAGATCATAGGCATACTTGAACGAGAATCTTCCATCCGCTATCCTCCTCATTTGTAAGCACCAGGCGGAGGAAAACCGGCGAAGACACACCCATAGGTAAGTGATAATTTATGTAATCCTGATTCCACTAATCGTTCAGTATAAGCTCAGGCAGCGACAAGTCAAGAGTTTCCATTGCGACAGTGGAAGCGTAAGAGGAAAGTGATGCGCCATTATTCATTAGCGATCTTGCTAGAAGCGGACACTCCTCCCATTGTGAACATTCCAGGTTGCGTGGACCACACTCTTCCATCTTCCACTTCGAGCTTTAAAGAGTTAGGCTCAAATGAAGAGATGCAAGTTGACCATATTGAGGACATTGCTTGGCAACTTGCTCTCCGTTGTGTCCTCGAGGAAGAGCGAGAAAGGGTGAGAAGTGAAGTTGATGAGGAGGAAGTGTGCATTAAAGAAGAGGAAGATCTTGATTGTTCCCAAGGGGAAGAAAAAAAATTTTAAGAAGGAAGGTTGAGGAAGAAAATGGTGTCCAAGATGAGGATGAGGTTGGGATGGATAAAGCTTTCACAAGTTACGAGTGCTACCAAAGCTTTCCGGCCGACCTTGATGCACTTTTAGAGAAAAAGTCACGACTTGGGCAACTTGGTCATGACATCACAAGTGTGGTCGTGAGACGGTGCAAAAAGGCAGGGAATTTTGTTCAATGCACGAACGAAGTGTCAAAGTCAAGACGAAGTCGTGAGACGTGCTGAAGAGGTTGTAAAATTGGCAAAATGCAGCCATTTTTGTGTTGATCTCACTATCAGGTGTTAAATGTCATGACCATGACATCTGGCTGTGAAATGTGCACTGTCTGCGAGTATAAAGGGTGTTTTTGGCAGGTTTTTTAGGGAGAGAGCTTGTGAGAGTAGGGATTTCACCCAAAAACACTCGAAGGGTGATATCTAGAGAGAGATCTAGAGTGATCTTGGGGCCGAATTTGAGGCTCGAATTGAGATTAGAGCAAGGAAATCAAGCCTATAAGATAACGATTGAAGAACTCAAGATTTATATTGTAATATATCTTCTCTCTATGAGTTAGTTCTCTTTCACTTAGATTGTTGAACCCTAGGTCTAGATGTTGGTTTGATTATTGATGTATGTGACATACCCTATGGTTGTGATTCTCTGTTAACTATTGAATTGAGTATTTCATGCCATTGTTGGATTTTAATATCATCCCTCAATTTGAGGATTTTTTTTACCTAGGAGAGAGATCTCTATCCTAGGTTGAATAGAGCACTACCATTTCTTCATTGTGGGTCTTTGAACGAGTGTGATTGGATCATAGTGTCGTATTGGGTTTTGCCCAATCGTGGGAATCAGTTGTGGATGCCTAGGTTTCTAACAACAGTTATTGGCACGCTTCCTCCGGGCAGAGCAATTGAGTGAGTTGGACAACCCAAATAGAGACTCCAATCGAGTCTATGATTTTTTCGCGGTATAAGTATCGAGTCAATCAATCTGGGGTACTCAACATCGATCCAATGGAGGAACTAGGGGGTTCATGCCAAAGTGAGCTCCCAACTTGTAAATTAGTTAGAGTAGTGGTTCTAGTAGCTTAGTTAGCTTTGTTTCTTTATCATTATTCTTGTTTGGACAGATAAATAACCAAAGCAAGGTAACGGTAAATCTAGAGACCCGCAGATTCGGTAATTTTATAACTTTACTTCCAATATAATACACCCGATTGTTGGTTATGTTTGGCCTTCGATTGAGAGGGTAATTTAGAGCGAGTCACTATTTTAAGAAATAAAGTGTGGGATAGGCTCAACATGTGAGGTATCTTTTCATTGCACAAAATCGGGTTTTGCAAGTGACACTAGTTGAGCTTTAGTGGGGCATTTCTACAAGGTGATGCTAGTTTCTTTCTAATACAAGTAAAATTTCTACCTGTTGATTTGATAGATTATATGTTGTCGCACGCATCATCAAGCTTTACATGTATAAACTCGATCGTCGACAATACTAGTTACCCTAATCTAGGACAAGTGCACCCTAGATCGGTGAAGTAGTATAGTGGATTGGTGACCGAGGTCGTATTCCAAGGATCACGGTATCCTAGGCTACTTTAGCTCGGTTATTATCTAGTCAACCTGTTACTTAGGGCAGTTGGCAATTACTTAACTAGGGAACGATAGGAGGGAAGAGGTACTCGGGGTGCCTCCCTCGCCCTAACTACAAGAAATGACATGCAAAAGGAAAAAAGGACGAGTTATGGCAATCGAGGGGCATAGATCGCTAATTTAGGGATCGAATCAATGTTCATGCAACCGTTCCCACTCCTACACCGATCCACTAGCCCAATGTCATCTCAGTTAGCTTCAAGTTGTAGAGATACAACCAATCTCCTCTAAATGGATTCTACCCATCTGCACACTAGACCATCAAGTCGATGGTCACACACTCGACTTCCTAGCATTAGCTAGGTGGCCGTCTAATAGGCAGGGGTATGGTTGCCTCGTCCACCATACTAGACTCCTAGATCATAAATCTACTTCTAATTAGCTTAAGGCACTCAAATCCAGTCTAATTCATAAAATCCTAAGTGGTAGGTTAGATGAAAAGAATTGGAGAGACAAGCCCATGCATAATTAATCATAGATGAAGCATAAACGCTAGACAAACTCAATTCATGCATAAACCACTAGAAAGAAGATGACAATTCCCCTAAATACCTAAGTTGTAACTAAGGCAAATGTGTAAAATCTAGAAAACACGGAAGCACAACACAACGATTTATGTGGTTTCCCCGTTCGGTGAGAACGAGACTATTCCACGGTGGGGTCAAGTTTGGCGGTGGTTTGGGTCGCCGGAAAACCGCGACCCTTCGGTGTTCTTTCGGCCCGATCTCCCTCCTCCGACCTCCAATCGGAAAACCGCGACCACCACAGCGTTCCTGGCATCCGGGGCCTCATTCCCCAAAGTTTTGGGTCAGTTTGGCTATGGTGAAGTCGCCGGCGACGAAACTACGGAGAGCCTCCCGGCGATTGTCGTGTTCTCTCGCTCTTCCATCACCTTCCCGGCGATATCTTCTTGTGCCTCCAGGAAAATGAACACTTACTTGAACATGCTCGACGCCGACCAGAGGAAGACTCTGCAGGACATCCGACACTGCAAAGTCGTTCAGCAC